TCTCCCTTCTCCACCCACAGGCTAAATGGGGCTGTGATCAAAGGCTTTGAAGACGACGTCGGGACCAAGACGTCGTTCTATGGTTTCACGGTGAACACAATGAAGAATTCCCTGATCGCCTACAGAGAGTATGGTTTCACCCAGATACCCCAGTCCAAGGTAAGCCATCAGGGCTGGGGGTCGTTGTGCAAATATTTGGTTGGAACTGGAGTCATCCAGGCCGTGGCAACACCCGCTGCGGGATGGAGCTTTGCTGACCATCTTGGCCTTGCTGGCCATTGACTCACACCACCTTGGAACCTGCATAAAGTGCAGGAGGGCCTGAGACCATCAATCTGTGACTCTTCCTGTGAGGTCGCCCTGGTTCCTTTCAGCTCCACCAGAAACCTCCTCCATGTTTGAGAAGCGCTGGGTGTCCATGGCTCCCCATGCTCAATCTTACCGCCAAAGCTCATGTGTACGTTTAGTCGCCCTGCGTTAGTGAATGAGGCTCTTGCATCTAAGTGGGGCTGAGGGTGTGATAGGATGTCGTGCTGTAGTGCCTGCTACACCAAAGCATTATGTATTTTGTGCCCCCCGCCCCACTGCAGGACCTGCGATATATTTTCATCCCCTCGGACATACGCGATTACGTCATGCTGAAGTCAGCCATACTGGGCAGCCGTGTCCAAGAGGGTTATGACAAAGGCGATGAGTAAGTAACGCTTCCAACCTTTCTACCCACCCTGAGCCATCTCAGGCATAATGCTACTGGGCAATGGATGTCCTCCAACTGCAGGGTGGATACAGCATAGACAGCGTTAATGCATACTGCCTTCTGCAAAGGTGTCTCAGCCCTCTCTAAGGTACTTATGTGGCCCACAGTCTGTGTATTCATCATCACAACACCTCTTTGAGAGAAGGGCCATTATACAGATTGGAGTACAGAGACTTAAGTGACTTGACTATGGTCCCACAGGAAGGCTGTGGCAGAGCAGGGACATAGGACTCCCACATCCCAGGCTAGTGCCCTAAACACTGGACCATCTTTCCTCTCTCTGCCCTGTCTTCGGGCCTCAGCAGCACCTCATTTTCACAACCCCAATTGGAGCAGCTCTGAAAGCATCACCCAGACGTCCCCAACGACCGACCCAGAAGTAATTTAATACAGAAAATCTCTGCACAAAGAAATTATTCTCCTCCCTTCTATTAATCACAATCATTTTTCACAAGCACCTTTCATTTGTAAGCAAAGTTAGAAGGGAGCAGGATCAAAACAAAGCTTACATTGTACATCTGGCTGCAACCTTAACTCCATAATAAAAAATGAAAGCCCTTCAGTGTCTCTCTGAGTTTCTGCCTCAGAGGAAAAGTGTTAACTCTGGGCTCCAGGGAGTTGTATTTTTATTCCATTGTTTAATATTTTCTCTCAGTCTGATCCCTCTGCTGCTGACAACCAGCACCATTGGTCAGTCTAAAAATTCAGATTCTTTTCAGGTCGTAATATAAACACTGAGCTGTCTAAATACTGACTTGAAATGAAACTCTTCCTTTTGATCTTCCTGCCACAGCCCACGGATGTATTTTGGACCAGAGGCATCTGCAAAAAAGTTCAAGCTGCTGCACTCAGATTTCATACACTATCTAACCCTGAGGTAAGGAAAACGAGGCACTGCCTCTGGGGAAAACATTGTCTCAAAACACTCCAGCTCATTCAGCAAACCGCTCTGGAACTGCCCTGGTTCTGTTCACTGCAGCCTGCCCCGCAATCAAACCCCTCCATCTCCCTGCAGCCTTCCCCCATCACTGAAATGTAGTCCAGTCCCACTCAGTGCATTACATCCCAGTCACTGGAGCCCAACCCACTGCGATCCATCTTGGATTTACACCCACGTGCTCCCATTCATTGCAAGCCAATCCCGTTTCTTGCAAGCCACTGTGTTTCCATTCACTGCCATGTAGTGTCATCCTTTCCTCGGCAGCTCATCTTGTTCACTGGGATTTGGTGCAGCCCATCTCTCTCCATTTCACTGATCTCACCTGTTGTAATCCCTCTTTGTTTACAGATTTCTGAGATCTGAAATAATAAATACTCAATATGGGTATCTCTACATGCCCAGTACTGGTGCCCTCATGCTACTGACAGCCCTCCATACCTGTGACCAGGTAAGAGCTGTCAGGGCTACCTTTCTTCAGTGCCTAGTACTCTGCTGGCCAGCCTGAATAAAGGCTGATGGAATTAGTCTGGGGTGGAGTTAAAGCATGTCCTTGGCTTGGTTCTTAACCCTCCTGTTATAGGAACCAGAGATATTTGGGTAGAGCTCCATGAGCCCCAACCTGGTATGAATCATTTCACTGATGGTGCCTGCTCCAGTGTGCCAAATGGATTCCAGGATGTACCATTTAGGATATAGCACTGAGGATGTACCAGGTACATGGGGTGGCACCAGTGGGGTGGCACCAGTGGGGCACTGTGCTCCACACAGCTACTCCAGCAACATCTGACTGACTGGGTAACTGCTTATCCGAAGCCTGGGGTCAGGTCTGCCTAGGACAGGCTGGGCACCGATCCTACCTCCTGTCTGTTCTGTTACCCTTTCCCCCATCTGCAGGTCAGTGCCTATGGATTTATCACGGACAATTACCGAAAGTTTTCAGACCACTACTATGAGCGAAAGAAGAAGCCTCTGGTGTTCTATGCCAACCATGACATGCTGCTGGAGGCGGAGCTGTGGAAGAGCCTGCACAGGGCAGGCATCATGAAGCTGTATCAGCGGTGAGGCTGGGTGGCACATCCCTTGGACTCTTGCTGTAACGAAAGTAATTTTTCTCCTTTTCCCCAAGGGCTCCATTCTCCCTGGCAGGGGCCGTCCAGAATTCATGGGCAAAGGTGGCAAACTGAGAACTCACCCAAAGCCAGCCTTACAAGCAGGAGCAGATGGCGATTGCGTGAATTGCAAGGCTGCCTTCTGCAAGCCGGGGGTGCTGCCTGGAGGATTCTGCTCAGATGGCAAAGCAAGTGGGGTGAGGTCTCTTTCCAAGGAACCTGCTGATTGGCTCGAGACAACAGACCCCCGACCCTGCCTTTGTCCCAGAAATGCCCCGGTTCCTCCCATCAACTACGACACCTGCAGGGAGCAACTTCTGACACTGGGAAACGAAGAGGGGATTTCAGAAGCAATAAGCCTGAATGTTCGATGCGCGTCTCCCAAAGGGGCGTGATAGCCCTGAGAGAAGACGCTCGCTCACCAGCACATTCCAGCTTCCCATTGCCTTCCTTTGAGTATTACATGCAGAGCACAGAACGTGGCTGTGGAAAATACCCAGCCTGCCGCTCCCACCTTTCCATCACACACAAGGGTCTGCCACAACCCTGAAGAACCTAATTTGTTGTGTTCAAACTCCTTTATGGTGGGACACATCACAGCCACAATCCTATAGCTGAGACCACCTGGATGGAGCTTGTGGACATTGCTCCTCAATAGACTGGGTGGGTAGGTGAAGAGCATTGGGGCCAGGCAGCCTTAACTGTATGAAGGCCCCCAGAGCCAACACATGCACATACACTCCACTTTCCAGACAGATCTCCCATCACTAGCAGCATACAGCAGAGGCTGACTGCCCTCTCCAACCTGTGCTTCAGCCACACTCCTGGGGCTTTCACTCCACATTGATGTCAACAGGTGAGGGTGGTGTTGTCACAGATTAATTAGGCCCCCCCCCCCACAGGAAATTGGGGCAGGTGGACCTGCTCAAATGGGAGGAGTTGGATGGGACCCTATGCATTATTTTACATTGCAAACCTAGGGGTGCTGTGTATATTCAGAGGAAGAGCCCCAGCCCTTGTACAGATGGATGGAACCCACCACTCCATTACTTAATACTAAATCCCCATCAGGCTAAATAAAAAACCCAACTAGCCAGCAGTAAGGAGGGGAAATTCTTTAACCCTGAAGCTACATTTTGTAAGTTAATTACATGTAACTAGGAAGAGTAGATCAGCAACAGGTTGGTTTTGTTCTACAGGGAGGTTGCAATGACTAGTGATGGATGGATGCTAAAGCACAATGGAGGAGTGTAATTTGAAACATTTTCCCACTCTGTATAATTGCATAAATGTTGAATGATCTTTTATGTTTTCTTTTGTTGTTTTGGGTTGGGGTGGGGGAAGGGGGTAGAATATGACTGGCAGAGGCTGGCACTGAAAGCAGAGCAACAATACAGTGTGTGGCTGGACATCAGAGGAGTCTGACCTGGGGGTAGTGCTGCAGTGAATTTCTACACAGGAGGGGAGGGTGAACATGAGCGACAAGTACTGGCAAAGGCTGATGAACGTGATCCTAACGCGCACAGCCAGAGGCTCAGCACCCACTTGCTTTGCTCTAAGCCTAAGAATTAACATTTTAAAAAATAGTTTATTTGTCCTAGTCATCCTTGTAGAACAGCACTCAGCGGGAACAGCTAGGGTACAAGACTAGGTGTCGGGATACCCAGAAACTCAACCTTGCTGTGCCACTGTGTCTGTTGTCAGGTTTGATTTTATGTATTGCAAGATACAGAAAATAGCAGTGTTCAGACTGACTCATTCCATATCTGTAAAGCACATACATGTTATCCACATTTAACAGATGGGGGATGTGAATTGTCCAAGTCCACATCAGTGCCCAACATGGGGGATCTAGAACTTTAGCTCAGTTAGGGAACAGTTCTACTATACCCTACTGGTGCAAGCAGGTCTCTTGCCTTCTATAGGAGTAGGTTAGTCATGGAAGGCTGTAACCATATCTGAAAACTGTTCCAGCCATAAGCCCCAGTGTGGAGGGCCTTACATTCTCAAAACCCTGTAAAGTGCTGCATGTTACTAGCTTTTTCTATAGTCTAGTGATGTAGCCTCTTTTAGTAATGAGGGTCTTGCCCTTCTCCTTGCAGTCATATAGCATAGAATCTGATGTATCATAGGTGAAAGGGCTCGTTGGACTCACTTAACTTTGGGTTTAGAGCATCACTAAAACTCAGACACCTGACATTTTTGATGATTTATTTCTGAAAGATAAAACCTCCTTGGTCAACAGCTCTCTTCTCCAGCCAGCCCTGCTGGGGGAAAAAAGCAAAACAGGATCTAGTCAGTAAAGGAAGACATTAACAAGCCCCTTTCTTCTGTGCTGTCAAATTTATTGTAAAAAAAAAAAAAAAAAAAAAAGTAGGGAAGGTGGCCAAACGCCAAGGACACAAAGGAGCCATCCACCTTTATTTTACCAGGAATACAAAGAAGATCGTTTGAGGAGGTTGGCAAGACTTAACTGAAATGATGGACAGGCCAGTTCTTGCTCTATTACTGACTGGCATGATAAAGACCTGCACTTTATCAGATGCAAGGCTGGTCCTGTCAATGTCACAGCTAGTCTCACTGGAGCCATGTTCCTAGCACTCCAAGCAATCGTCCCTTTTCAGCACTTGAGTCTAAGACCCATTCTCGCCTTAACAGACACCACGGAGCTGTGTCAAACTCAACAGCAAAGAGGAAACCCTGCAGTTATGTGCTGGTGACGTCACCTGTGGGTATCAGGTACCAAATGAGAAGTACTGATAAACAAGGACTATATAGGAGACAGACTGAGACCTTGCTTCAGATCATTCTCCCTCTTTTGCAGCAGCATCCTGAAGTTAGAGACTTATCAAAGTCAACTGACATGCAAAGTCTGCAAAAAACAGCTGCTAACTAGATACAGCAAATAAGATTTGCTTTGAACCAGTTCCTGAATCTCCACAAGTACTGAACACTGTTTACTTTTATTTTCTATTTCTAGCCTCTCTTGTTTTATTTGCAACTTGGGAGCAGACAGCTCCAGTTTTTCCTTACTCAATAAATTATGCCTTCTAATTAAACAAATCCTGACATTGCGCCAAAGTGTGACATGAAAAATCCACATGATAGAACAAAGTTTTGTACAGGAATTCACTGCAAATCTACCGCATATCAAACACTTAAAACAAATCCATTGCTTTTCTACTACATTCCTCCCCATCCCACATACCAACCTCCAAGCCTAAAGGAGTTCTGTTATCTTTGGATCCATTGTCCAATTCATTCCAGGTCAGGAAACCATGCACGTGTTACAAGGACCTCTGGCAGATCGATCACACCTTCAAATCCTGTTGGAGTTTAAATTACAGTAAGTTGCTAGAAAGAATGCAGTTAATGGTCAGTCATTTGGAAACTTTTTAAATTCAAGATCTCAGAGTGCTTAAAAAGGCAAGTATGAGTTCTCCTCTTTCCTCATTTGTGACATGGGGTACAGAAGTTAAGTGACTTGCCCAAGGTCAAGCTGCAGGTCAGGAATAGAACGTAAATCTTTGATTGGATGTCCAATCTCTTGCTGTAGCCTCTAGAGCAAGAACATCCTCTTGCTCTCAATGCTATTACTCTTATTGTTTTGATAAAAGAATCAAGGGGTTATTCAGGGATGGAGAAATAAAGTGGAGCATGACAGAGGACAGTAGGGCTCTTGTGTTCCTTGAGGAGAAAACAATGATCCTAGTGAGGCAAATAGCAAGGAGCATAAACGCTGCCAAATTAAGTGCAAGAATATAATAAGAAAAGCCAAAGAGGAGTTTGAAGAACAGCTAGCCAAAAACTCCAAAGGTAGTAATGTTTTTTAAGTATATCAGAAGCAGGAAGCCTGCTAAACAACCAGTGGGGCCCCTTGATGATTGAGATACAAAAGGAGCACTTAAAGACAATAAAGTCATTGCAGAGAAACTAAATGGATTCTTTGCTTCAGTCTTCATGGCTGAGGATGTTAGGGAGATTCCCAAACCTGAGCCGGCTTTTGTAGGTGACAAATCTGAGGAACTGTCACAGATTGAGGTGTCACTAGAGGAGGTTTTGGAATTAATTGATAAACTTAACATTAACAAGTCACCGGGACCAGATGGCATTCATCCAAGAGTTCTGAAAAACTCAAATATGAAGTTGTGGAACTATTAACTAAGGTTTGTAACCTGTCCTTTAAGTCGGCTTCTGTACCCAATGACTGGAAGTTAGCTAATGTAACGCCAATATTTAAAAAGGGCTCTAGAGGTGATCCCGGCAATTACAGACCGGTAAGTCTAACATTGGTACCGGGCAAATTAGTCGAAATAATAGTTAAGAATAAAATTGTCAGACACATAGAAAAACTGTTGTGCAATAGTCAACATGGTTTCTGTAAAGGGAAATCGTGTCTTACTAATTATTAGAGTTCTTTGAAGGGGTCAACAAACATGTGGACAAGGGGGATCCAGTGGATATAGTTTACTTAGATTTCCAGAAAGCCTTTGACAAGGTCCCTCACCAAAGGCTCTTACGTAATAAGTTGTCAAGGGATAAAAGGGAAGGTCCTTTCATGGATTGAGAACTGGTTAAAAGACCAGGAACAAAGGGTAGGAATTAATGGTAAATTCTCAGAATGGAGAGGGGTAACTAGTGGTGTTCCCCAAGGGTCAGTGCTTGGACCAATCCTATTCAACTTATTCATAAATGACCTGGAGAAAGGGGTAAACAGTGAGGTGGCAAAGTTTGCAGATGATACTAAACTGCTCAAGATAGTTAAGACCAAAGCAGACTGATAAACTTCAAAAAGATCTCACAAAACTAAGTGATTGGGCAACAAAATGGCAAATGAAATTTAATGTGGATAAATGTAAAGTAATGCACATTGGAAAAAATAACCCCAACTATACATACAATATGATGGGGGCTAATTTAGCTACAACAAGTCAGGAAAAAGATCTTGGAGTCATCGTGGATAGTTCTCTGAAGATGTCCGCGCAGTGTGCAGAGGCGGTCAAAAAAGCAAACACGATGTTAGGGATCATTAAAAAGGGGATAGAGAATAAGACTGAGAATATATTATTGCCTTTATATAAATCGATGGTACGCCCACATCTTGAATACTGCGTACAGATGTGGTCTCCTCGTCTAAAAAAAGATACTGGCACTAGAAAAGGTTCAGAAAAGGGCAACTAAAATTATTAGGGGTTTGGAACAGGTCCCATATGAGGAGAGATTAAAGAGGCTAGGACTCTTCAGCTTGGAAAAGAGGAGACTAAGGGGGGATATGATAGAGGTATATAAAATCATGAGTGATGTGGAGAAAGTGGATAAGGAAAAGTTATTTACTTATTCCCATAATACAAGAACTAGGGGTCACCAAATGAAAATAGGCAGCAGGTTTAAAACAAATACAAGGAAGTTCTTCTTCACGCAGCGCACAGTCAACTTGTGGAACTCCTTACCTGAGGAGGTTGTGAAGGCTAGGACTATAACAGCATTTAAAAGAGAACTGGATAAATTCATGGTGGTTAAGTCCATTAATGGCTATTAGCCAGGATGGGTAAGGAATGGTGTCCCTAGCCTCTGTTTGTCAGAGGATGGAGATGGATGGCAAGAGAGAGATCACTTGATCATTGCCTGTTGGTCCACTCCCTCTGGGGCACCTGGCATTGGCCACTGTCGGTAGACAGGATACTGGGCTAGATAGACCTTTGGTCTGACCCGGTACGGCCGTTCTTATGTTCTTATCTCTTACTATGTCTCTGCATCTTGCACTGATCAGGGCAGCGTACTGAACAGAGCATTATGCAATGTACTTGAAACTCAAACACTATCCCAATTTGGCTGCTGCCTATCGCTTTGGGATGGGAAGAAACAATTGTCACAAGCGTAGTGGGGAGGTGGAACACTGCTTTTGCTCTGACATGATAGTGGCACAGCACATAGATCAAGTAGTTATGGACCAGTCCAAATCCTGGCTCCCAGGAGCATATTCCTCTGATGTCACACATTTTGTTGACACCATAAAAAGAGCCACCACAGAAGGCACAATCAAGTTATTATAGGCAAAACATTGGCTATAGGTCTCCCCACCAGTTAGAATCAGTTAAATCAGCATTTTGCCAGTTGAACAAGCTTCAAAGCTGGTTCAACCAGAAACACTGACAGTGTTATTGCAGTGTCAAGGTAACAGACAAAAACCAGATTGTAAGTGAACAGAAGGTTGATCACTCAAGTTAAGCACAAACATCTCAAGTTTTCCCACCAGCCAGGGCAAGCAACATGTGTCTCTAAAAAACCCTTTATCATACATGAAATCCACAACCAATTTTTTGTTTGCTAAAGATTTTACAGAATGCACCAAACTGGGCAATGCCTATTTTGAAGGGTTCCATTTATCCATTATGTTGAAAAAGGATGGCTCCTGGGAAATGTCCCCAAGTGCAAGTTCTATAGGATTTCACCAAGACAAAGCTGTGATGATTGCCCAGGATAGGATTCAGCACAGACAAATGGGACACTCAAAGGACATCCTATCATTTATCTTGTCTTTCAGATTTTAATCTTCTACAAAGGTCACCAAGGTAGGAAAATAAACTGCCGGGGGCAAAGCTCAAAAGCCTCAGAATATTTGTTTTTCCCCTCACGGCTGAGTTTTCAGACAGGGATAACATCACATCACTGGCTTATAGACTTCAAGGGACAGAAAAGCAGACTGAAAACCTAGTTAGGATACATTTGAAGAGCTCTGCAGAGTGTGTCAGCCTTGCCCACTGCAGGTGTAACCCAGATATGATCACAGAGATTAAGCAACTGGCAGGGAGGAGGAATGTGTGGAAAACTGGACATCAAGTCGAGTTCTGCTCCTTTCGGCAACATTTGGACCATCATTTCCTTGGCCCTTTGTCATTCACCACATCAGGTTACAGCCTGATAAGAGACAGGATTCAATCTGTTCAGGAGGGCAACAGCTGAACATACTAATGATCACCCACTACATTCCTATGCTTCCCTGGCAAGGAATAGGTTCAAGGAATCAGCACTCTGAACGCCATGACCCACCCCTGCTGACCAAAAAGCCTGTTGATTTCTCACAAGGCACAGAGGCAAACATTTCTCTAGTAATTCCTTACCAGCTTGCAGTCAAAGTTACCAGCCCCTGGCTTGAGACAGGCACTTTCTTTAGTACTGGATCACTGGGTGGAAGACACATTGCATCCTGTGAATGCAAGTACAAGCCACATGTTAAAGATTCATCATACCAGTCCTTAAAGTAAACTTTGATCCTTCAGTTTCATTAAAGCAGACGTGAAAGTGCTGAGCCTCAGAGAGTCAGAATTCCACAAAGGAAGTTTTCTTTTTCAGACAGGGATAACTTAGCATCATCACCAGCTCAGCACTCAGACTAGAGATCTGCCCAGCATGAGGGCAAAGGACATTCTTTGCAGCTGTTTACTTGTCACCCACTCAAGAGTAGGCATCCACACCCCAAGATTTCTCATTCTAAATCCTTGCTTACAGGGACACCAACTTAAAGTGTTACCTATAGTTACTAAACTGGGGAAAAAAAAAAAAAAAAACCCACTTCCCCAACCCCCTCCCAATTTGGGCCCTTTGTATAATCAAAATTGGGTGATTTAGTGTCAGTTTCCCCTGCGTGCGAGACAAGGCTGTAAAACTACATGCTGGCAGGGACAAGAAGGGGAAGGTCCATTACCTGAAGCTACTTTAAAATTCATTTTTATTCACTGTATTTCAAGCCAACAGCATCCCTCTTGGCTCAACCTTTTCAGTGCTCATGGCCAGATGCTAGTTTTGGGGCACCTCCACCAGCCACATACAGAAATACATGCTCTACAAAATGGTGTCCTCCATGCGATGTCGTCACATACAATGCGTGCAAGGTCACGCTGCACAGGACACCATTTTCTAGAGCAGGTCTGCTGTGTAGTGGACACATTTGGGGGCCACCAGTTGGACTACCCTGCGCTACGTAAAGAACTTATCATAAGAACGGCTATACTGGGTCAGACCAAAGGTCCATCTAGTCCAGTATCCTGTCTTCCAACAGGAGCTAGTGCCCTAGAGGGAATGAACAGAGCAGGTAATCATCAAGTGATCCATCCCGTCGCTCATTCCCAGCTTCTGACAAACATGTGGAAATGTTGTAACCCCCCCCCCCCCCCCGACTCTCACATACAGGAAGAATCCACCAGCACTTTCTGTAAGACATTTGAGGGCTTATTACATGAAATACACTTGGACATACGGAAAATAAACTATTAATACATCCTTTGGAGGTGCCTTTAGCTTTTATATTCCCTGTTGAGTCATCACTATGCCTCCCCTCCAGCCAAAGAAAGCTTAAAAAGACTTCAGCGTAAATCCAGATCAATGCAGACTAATTATTCTTTCACTAGCTCTATTCCTTTAACAAATATTTGTGGGATGAGCTGCATCAAGTATCTCTATAGCAGAGTGTTACCTAATCCCTCCGTACTCCATTCTCCCACTCACCTTTGACTGTCACAGCACCCAGCTGTCCAGCCTAGCACAATGACAGACTTAAATGCCCATTCATGGAACCCTACCTTTCAACTTGTGGTCTTTGAAAGCAAAGGGGTTTGCACTCAAATGTCTACTGCAACAAAGCAGCAGCCAGTACAGGTGGGAGGGAGAGACAGAATAATTACAATAATCAAGCATTGAGTTTTTATATCTGCACTCATTAGCCCTAGGGATCACAACAGTGTCATCCAAAACCACTGAATAGAGCAGCCTTGCCTCCATTTCCCAACAACAATGAAAGGGACTTAGATTTTTTGACAGCACAAGACAGATGCTAACATGCCTCACCATTGTGCAGATGAGCAGACAAACACGGGCTGATCAAAGGAATTTTCACCTCCTTCGTTAGAGACTCATGGGTGGTTAGTGGGAGGGATACTCTCATCCAAAAGCCTCATCCTTGATTTCCAAACAGAAAGAGGTGCTGCACCCTGGGAATTTAAGAACAGGTCACAGGGTTAGGGTTAGTCAACATACGATCAGACAAGCTTTCATTTCTGGGTTTCCTTAAATCAATTTTGCAGTGCTGAGCTTCAGAATCACAACTCCACAAGAGAAAAGATCTTTTTCAGACAGAGATAACTTTGTATCATCACCTGCTCAGCTTTCAAAACAGTAAGACCCATACCAGGCAAAGTCGGTGTGTGCAGAGCCAAAGGTTCTACTCTAACTGTATCTGTTCCTTTGATTGCCATGCTCTCCACTCCATGTGACAATGACACCTGGTGACATCAGCAGTATGCACCTTCAATAGTACTCATTTTCTTTTTTGGACATTTCAGTTAGAGGTTGTGTTGTGCAAAGGCATTGCAAGTTCAGCATGAAGGCTGTTTGTTAGCCAAACTCATCACCCACTCCAAAAACAAACAAATCTTTCTAGTATCAGAGTATTGCTTTTGTAGTAGAATTCACACCAGAACTGCCCAGAGAAGCACTTCACACTGATGGGAAAGTCAGCTTAAAAATAAATCAATTCGTTCTGTCACCGCTACCAGAACCCCTTAAGATTAGTCGGAATGAAAAGAGTAAAGGAGAAATTTATTTACAGTAGAAGCTCAGCGTTACGAACACCTCGGGAATAGAGGCTGTTTGTAACTCTGAACAAAACATTATGGTCGTTCTTTTAAAAGTTTACAACTGAACATTGATTTAACACAGCTTTGAAACTTTATGTTTAACACAGTACTGTACTACATTTGCTCCCCCCCGCCCCCCATATCTTTGCTACTGCCAGACTGTGTCCTTCCGTTTCAAATGAGGTGTGTGATTTACAAACTGAATAGTCACTCTGGTGTTCATAACTCAGATTCGACTGTACCTTTTAAAAAGCTTACTTTGTTCATCATAGACACATGCAGCATATTATATTGTTAGCTGTACTGTTTACCCAAATAATCAGTTAGGGCAATGGTTCAAACCTTACTGAAGTGAATGAAAAGATCCCTATAGACTTTAAAGAACACTTCCAAAATCTCTTGGTTTTCCCTGTTTGTGCAGTTCTCCCACATAGCAGGAGAGAAACACACCATATACAATTACATGTTCGTGTTTTGTATAACAGCAATACTTAGCAAGGGCAGTCAGCAGAACCTGACATAACTTAGCTTTGTTATATTGACTGGATTTCACACTGACTGTTCCATGTTAAGAGAAACCAAAAGAGACCTTAAGAACACCGTGCAACCCAAAAGCCTGTCCCTTCCACCAACAGTAGTTGGTCCAACGAAAGGATATTACTTCACCTACCTTGACTTCCTGTTAAGGTGTCAAAGAAGTGCATAAAATGCTAAAGTTTGAGCAAGGAAGGGAACAGACTCTCAGTCTCTGGTCCTTGGGGGAAACCATTCCCTTTAGAAGTAAAAATTCTCAGACATTTCCCATGAGCTACCAAGACCAGAAGTGCTTTTCAGTTTACAGCCAAAAGGAAATGACTTCAGCAACAATAGCAGGATTCAAGCTGTCCCTTCAAAGTAGGCAATAATGTACAGGAGTCATTAGAACAGAATATCTGAATAGGAGGTGTCCCTTTGAGCCACAAACCTTAACATTCATGTGCCATATACACACCCCAGATCCATTTAGCACAGAGGCCATTAGCAATGCCCAGTGGGTAGAATCAGGAACCACTATGAGTGCATATACAGTTACGCAGAGAACCCTAGAGTAGTTTAAGGCAGTGTCTCTCAACTAGGGGCCCAGGCCCCCCAGGCAGGTTTCAGGGCCACCATGCTTATGGCTGGTGTTAGACTCCCTAGGGCCCAGTGCAGAAAGCCAAAGCCCCACCACACAAGACTGCAGCCCAGAGCCCTGAGCTGAAGTCAAAGCCTGAGCAACTTATCTTCACAATGCTCCCTGTGGCATGGGGCCCAGGCAGTTGCCCTGCTTGCAGGCCAGCCCTGGCTTTTATATGCAGGAAAACAGTTGCTGTGGCACAGGTGGGCCATGGAGTTTTTATAGCATGTTGGGGTGCCTCCAAAAGAAGGTTGAGAACCCCTGGTTTAAGGGACAACTCAATGGCCCAGCAAGTCACATGACCTAGTAGGGGTGGGTTTTAAACTTGAATTACACCAAGACTTTGGGTGCCTCAGCCCAGGCTCTTGAATGAAGCTTTCCGGAGACAGGGAAGGGGGAGCTGCCAGATGACTGTAGAGCAGCTTTCCCCTGTGCTGCACTGTCATTTAATCTGCCCACTTACCAGGACTCAGCAGGGTGCTGCTGGGCTTTCCTTCCTCCTGCATGCTTTAGGCAGGGACCTGCAACAGGGGAAACCAGAGGGGTTAATTGGGGCATCTTATCACCAGCCGCTTTCCCATACCCAGCTGGGCCAGTAGCTTCAGAGGAACAGAGGCAATTGACAGAGGGGCACCCGGGCCCTAGTCACTCCCCCATCGGGGAGGAGAGAACAAGCTAGAGGCAGCCATGGGACTTGCGGCCAGAGATCTTCCGCACAGGCTGATGGGGAAGGGGGCAGCACTTACACCACCAAAGCGACACGCTAACCGGGCACCAACCCAACTGATACACCGCGGGGCGATGCACAATCGCCACCCGCTCACTTATCACGAGACCGCGTCTGCCTACAAGGCGCCGTCACCGAGGATGGCATCGGATCCTGCCACAGTCCGAATCTACTCACCACCAGTTCGCCCGCCGGCTGCGAGCGGAAGAGACCGCAACAGCCGGAAGTGTCCCGCCCTATCCATTGCAAGTCTCGTTTCACCTCTCGCGAGGCTGAGAGGGGCTGGTGGGAAATGTAGTTTTTTCGTCTGGCCCGCTAGTGCCTCTGAGGCTTCTTTGTAGGGAGGCTGAGTCTTTGGAGGGAGGGACGGTATTTTCATCGTACAGCCCGCTTGGGTCTCCCGGGTGTTTTACACGCTGCTAACTTTGTTAACAATGAGCTTGCCTGATGGAAGGCCAGATTCTGCCCAGGATTACACTGGCCTGGGCAGTCAGAAGCAATGGGGCTGCAAATCAGATCAGAATTTGATTAATTTCTTTCTCCCACTCCTGTCTTGGTGCTTTCTTCCATGCTAAATGCCCTACCTAGCAGAGTTCACAAAGCTGCCTCCATATCTCCATTTGAGCCCTTCCTAAAAGTATTATTATTCCTCTTTGTACAGCCACAGCGCCAGAGGGAACAGGCGCCACCGGATTAGGCATTGTACACACACAGAATAAAAGTCTGTGGCAGAAAGTACAACAGTGCTTGTTGGAAATTTGACTAATGGGCATTAAAGGCTGGCATCAGTAGTGGAGCACTATATCATATACAAGATGATAGCTAAGGTGAGACTAAATAATGAAAGACCCAAAGCCTCACCCCTTTTGTGAAGGAGCTAATAACATAAATAAAGAATTCTCTGTGATGCCCTTCTCTAAATTCCCTGTTACATCTTGTCTTCTCTACACTGTAAGTTTCTGTGACAAGGATTGTCTAATTTTGGATTTAGAACAGAGCCATGCTTCCTGTTGGCACTTAACAAAGAAGAAATACAATAATAATAAAGAATGAAACAAATGCAAACCCTGGGCTTGGTTCTGATCTCACATATACTGCTGTCACATTGGTGTAACTCCACGCCAGCTGCACAGAAACCACAGCAATAGTACACTATAGATAGATGGACAGATCTGATTAGATGTCGGTGAGTTTCTCCTGATTTACACGGATGTGAGTTCAGAATCAAGCACTAGTGCCTCTGTGAACACAGTATTAGCATTACCGGTTATTAATGGCGTTTGTTGAATCTTCACAGTTAATAATAAAAATATGATCTTACTTAGCATTGATACAGAGCTCTGCATCTCCAACAGGCAGTACCAGCCTTAACTTTAAATGGCTAATTAGCTAGAGGTTTTGGATTAATTAGAGATTAATTAGTAAGTGTGTGTATAATACTTTGAATATGTAATGCATGCTATAAGTGGTCTGATTATCATTTATTATTAAAGGATGCTGTAAAATTAATAGGGCACCACTCAACCCATGAATTGTAACAAATTTTAAATAGCCAAAATGTATACTGCTCTAAAAGAAACAAATGGAACAAAAGCAAAAGTAGCAAGTATACAAAGTATCCATTTCTACACCTCTGGGGTTTATCTGCTCATGCATAGATGCTATCTTTAACCTGCAGGTGTATAATCTATAACACAGGAAAACCCCCGAGCATCTTCCCTACATTAGAAATAAGAGCCCCCCGCCCTTTCTTAGGAATCCTCCCTCTCCTCCATCCCCCCAGGAAGCTCAGTGCTGGTGGAAGCCCTAACGAATGACCTCCTAATTATTACTAATGTTACAATAGTTTGCTGGGGACTGTATAAACACCCTGAGGGAGAGTCCCTGCTCCAAAGAGATTGAGAAAAATAAAGCGTGGGAGGGGAAATGGAGGTGAAGTCAGCTGAGGTCCCACAGCTGGTGAGTGGTAGATGTGGGAACAGAACCCAGGTCTCTCAGACCATTTCACTAACCACATGACTGTACTGCCTCTGGATGTCACCCTCTGTCTAACCAGAGGCCTTACACAGCATGGGCACCAGCCATTCACCCTTACCCACCAATGCCCCCCCCCCCCCCCCCACCAATTACCTGACCCGGAGAAACCATTTCCAGGGATGAGACTGGAGTTCAGGCTCCATGTCCATTCACTGCTCAAACTCTCTGCAGAGGGTGCCAGCTAGTGCCAGTTGAATGGTGCTTCTGTGTGATGTGGGCACCGGCCTATTAGTGCTGGACTGAAACCCATCAACTCAATCTCTCTGTCTCCCCTTTTCCCATCACCATTTATCATTATAGGCGATTGAAGCATTCTGTAAACTTTTATCCACTTGCCCACAATGAGGATACATTTGTCATCCCAGTTATTAAAACACCCCAAAACCTCTAAACCGGCCAACCAAACAAAAACCCTTAATAAATCAACCATAAAAAACATTAAAGGTGAATTAATAAAAAATTGTCAAAGCCTAAAAAACTAGAAGCCTACCCCATGCAGAACTTAGATCCTGAAAAGAGAGAAGAGCCAAAGACTTATTAGGGACTTTGCTATTGCTGTAGCTTTTGTATGGAAGGCATTCAGATACTACAGTCATGGGCAGCAGTAAAAGCCTAAGATAGATCACTAGATACCCATAGAGCAAATGAATTAATTTTGCTAAATAGCAAGTAAGCAAACCAACACAATAAATAAGTGCCACAATATGTACTTAGGTCCTTTATCTGAGATGAGTGTAATTCACGGTAATTATTTAAGCTCCTACACTCACACTGAAGCAGAAAATGTTCCAGGGGCTATTTTGTAGAAATGAGAAAGTCTCTGGTTACAACTGTGCTTCCACTCTTAAATCTTTGCTGGGTGACGGAGAAAGCTTTTTGTTTGTGTGAGCGGTGGAGTTTGTGGCTTAACAAAGTGAGAATTAACGAGGTTCCACTAAGCACATCATGCATTAGGTATCTTAGGCCTGGTCTACACTAACACCCCAATTCGATCTAAGGTACGCAACTTCAGCTACGTGAATAACGTAGCTGAAGTCGACATACCTTAGTTCGAACTTACCGCGGTTCAGACGCAGTCCACACGCGGCAGGCAGGCTCCCCCGTCGACTCCGCGGTACTCCTCTCGCTGAGGTGGAGTACCGCAGTCGACGGCGGGCACTTCCGGGATCGATTTATCGCGTCCAGACCGGACGCGATAAATTGAACCCGGAAGTTCGATTGCCAGCTGTCGAACTACCGCGGTAGTGTAGACCTGGCCTTACATGTTTCATTGCTTAACTGCAAAGACTTGTCTGCTTAAGAATCTTGACCCTCCCTTCAACTCTAGGGGGCGCTCATGTCAAACAAATCTTCAGTGGCAGAACTTTGCCTTACAATTGTAGTGTATGGAAAAGCCCCATAGAATTCAATAGAAAATGATAGCCTTTCTGTAGGCTTTATGAACCATTCTATAGAACTGAATAGAGAATTCTATCCCTGCTTAAAAAACTCTATAGTAGCCAGTACCAGATGTTGCATAGGAAGGGCAAGACACCCCATAAAGGACAATTATGGAATAATCTGCGCATCGGGGAAGATTTTCCCTAACCTCTGTCAGTCAGGAGTCGGTTTATGCCCTGGAGCAATGGGATTTATATCTGTTACATATTTCTATCCTGTCTCATGCAACGGTGGATGTTATCATCACTGTAAATATCTAACTCTATTCTGAATGCTAATAAGCTCTTGGTCACTGGAAGATTTTGTGCAAATGAGTTCTTCAGGTTAATTAGGTGCTGTGAAAAAACAAAAATTAATCAATTTCAACAGATAAGTAATGGGTTCTCCTGGATCAGTCATACAAATTAATGGCAGTCATCACTGTTTACAAAGCAGTTTGAGCTCTAGTTTGGGATACAATATTTCTGTGCTACTGCTGATCCCCAGCTCAGATGCCAGGGTGATGAGCAAAGTATATGAGGGATGATCGATCGATCGATCCCAGGGGTAAAATAAAATCCTGTCTCCACTGAAATCAAGGGGAAAACCTCCGTTGATTTCAATGGGTCCAGGATTCCCCCAGAATTGCAGGGGAAGGTCGTCTTTCCAATATTGTTACCTGACCCCACTCTTCTAGCATAACAAGCATTTCCACCTGGGGAAATTTTCTTACTTACTAAACGTATCAATTGAATTATGCCACTCACTTTCCATCTCAGAGCCCTGCCCATCACAATCTTGCCTAGCAGCAAACGCCATGGGTACGTGAGTCTAGGAAAAGCAGAGCGTGCTTTGGATTTGAGACCGGCCACTGCGGTTACCTGCTTAAATATATGGCTAGGAAAAAAGGATATTTGAATTTATTTTAAAAAAGCCCCCCATTGCTAAATGTTTCCTGTGGGCAGCAATCCACAAATGGAGTCTATGAAAGAAAGTGGGAAGCAGAGTAGCTGAACAGACTGGAAGTCTAGTTTGTTACCTCTGCTCTTTGTGTTCTCAGATTTCAGCCTATTGCTGTGCATATCAAGTTGGCCTTAGGTATATGGCTGGGGGCCAGATCCCAGTAATTCAGGTATTATTAGACCATGAGGAGGAAAGACCTTTATGTTACCGAGTTGTACTAAAGAAAGCGCAAGATGAGTCACTCAAATCTAATTCTCTGGAGTCACTAGAGGTTCAAATAAAGTGATACAAAGAAGTGCCCCCCCCCCCCCAAAAAAACAGAGCACAATGGACAGAAATTATACCCCACCTGCACAGGACAAGGCATACTGCAAAACAAGGCCCTGTGACCGAAAGCACTCCCATATTCACACCCTACACATCATTTTAATAACCTTTGTGTGAAATATATCTCGTAAGGTCTCATTTGAAAACTAATAACTTGCTGGTCAATAATATCATGGTGAAATGTGTGCAGCAACAGTCTATGTAAAGTTATGAATTCCTCTGGTATGATGTTGTTAGCACATGTTCAAACCCACACAACCCTGACTAAGCAAAGATTGTTAAACAGCTCGGTCCTAAACACAGGCCTGTGTGTTTACCTCAGTTTACATATAAGTAGTAAACAGGGTTCTTGAGAAATCAAGGTGGGAACCGGTAGGAGACAAGGCAAATCTGCATTTCAGCATACACAGGGGAGAAGAAAGAGCAAGGAGCCACCTTCATCACCAG